TTACGCTTTTTTTGCTGAGTCGACCTTCTGTGTGTCGATACGTTACGATATGGTTGAAGTGGAAAACGCCCTATATTGGCATTTGACGATTACACGTGATCATTGAACCCGCTCCCACAACATTGTCCAATATCGTCCAACATTGTTGGTCTGGTCACAGAGTAGAGACATACAGAGTTGTAACTAGTGTACCCACTTTTTTTGTGCGCATGCTCGGCAAGTTACTAGATGCATGCATCTGATTGGATGACGACCTGATGACGACTCACTTTAAACTTGCTGAGCACGCGCAGTTGATCATTTTTTGCCCGGCCGCCTGAAAAAAAGTGGGTACATGAAAACGTAAGCTTCCGCAGTGTTTACAACGGTCAGTTACGGCTCTGCATGTCTCTACTCTGTGGTCTGGTGCAACATCACGATGTTGGACTCGTTTGGACGTGGCTTAAATGGACGGTGGGAACGAAATTGAGGAAAATAATTCAGGTTTCAGTGACACAGTGACCTATTCCACTGTGGACATATGTTTTACCTCCCTCAATTAAAACACGAGTAGGAGTGTTTCATCAGATATAAAACGCGAGGTGCAGCCGAGCGTTTCATGTCTGATAAAACACTCCTATACTCGTATATACTATAAAACACTCCTATATACGACTACAAAAGAATACTAATTTAATAGGATGAACCATTATATAATCATACTAATTAGGATGAACAATTTTATAATGCCACATGCTTTATCAGATATAAAGTCACTCCACGTGACATATTATGGCTGACATGATTTGCCACAAGGTTTATGAATTATTAATAAGTATTTTAACACATTTTATATACTTGTAAATTGATCAAAGTTTAAATTCAAATTGCAGGATAAATGGAACAACAAGTCATATTTACCAAAGGGTTTTTTTGTCTCACCTGTTAAGGTACTGGAGAACTTATATACTGTATGTCTCAATATAGAAGCAGTGTACTCTTAGTCACGCGAAATGTATATTCTGATTCTAAAATGATGTTATTGCCTTTTTTGTTTTACTTAAATAACTTATGCTTTCAAAAACAGTGTAACCAACAACACGATTACCCCTAAAATCACCACTTTAGATTTATTTTGCATTTAACACGTGGATTTTTTTTTTAAATTTTTACAATAACATGCAATTGAGAGCTCAGACAACATGCAGGAGAAACAAAGTTCTAAATTGCGTCCTGCCAGACATGAATACGCTATGCTACATTATACAACTGTGAAATTAACAAAATTACATCAATTTACAGAGTTAAACGTCGTGATATATTGACATAAAATTCGCTACAATGTATAAAAACAAGAATGACACGACACTTTCCATCAAAACATGCATTAAGTTTCTTTGTATATAATGTTTGTTGAGTTCAGATTTCGGCGAATGTGCAGTATAAGGGAGGATTCTATTTCATCGAGTAGGTTGATCGATAGGCACACATCCTATATTGAAAAATATATTTCGGATATAAGTTGTTATAAGTTGTTGTTTCGGTTTGGTCGGTATAAATTAGTAGAGCTAAGCTAAGGCGAGTGTATTATTAAATGACGAATTGGATTGTCTAGTATATAGTCTGAAGGTTTTAAGTCATAATGACCAGCTTTGCATTTGTAGAAAAAACATAATATCTTTTATCTCGAACCAGTATGAGATGGGGTTGGTGTAAGATGAGGTGTGCTCTTGAAGGATGTACGTCAGGCCATGGTCTAATGTTAAACTTTTTTTACTTGCTAGAAAACAACTAACATTGTTTCCAAGATTACACCAACTAAAAGTGTTTCCAAAACAAGCAGTGGTTCAACGGGCAAGAAAAAAACTGCCGAGAAACCCTCCCCGAGCAACGATTCCACGGGCAAGAAAAGAACTCCTCCTGAGAAACCTTCCACGGGCATTGATTCAACGGGCAAGAGAAAAGCTCCTGCTGAGAAACCTTCGAGGTAAGTAATCTAACAGTGTTGTTAGATTTAACATTCAGTCAGACATTGTCCAGCCTCGTTGCCCAGGGCCTTGGACATGCTGACGAATAATTTAATGTCGCGTGTGTAACGACGAGGATTCTTATTTTTAAATTTAAATCATAATTAAGTGTAGGATAAACACCGAGAAGGAGGGATTTATGTCAGATAATGAGGAGGTTTTCCAACAAAGTTTTGTTTGCTTCGTTTCTGTCTGTTTGAACGACGATTTTAGTTTTCCTTCATCTTTTCAACTGATTAATATTCAAAGTGATTATTAAAAATAATCACCTCGGTAAATGAAAGAAAACCGACTCAAACAATAACCGCCTCGCGAGGCGGTTAGCTCAGCAAGTAGCTCTGCATGGGTGAACTTAAATTTCTTTCACTACGATCAAAACTGACCAACTTACATTTTTTCGACAGGATTTCTGAGAAGTTGAAAGGTAAAATGATTCAGAAGTCGTTACTGAGTATGATGGATAACAAAGATAATGAAAGGGATAATGAAAAAATTTCTGATGTAGAAGAAGACGAAACACCTGCAAGGTATACATGTACGGAGTTCTAAACCTGACTTCAAATGATGTATCCTATTTGATTTACGTATTGTATTAATATTAACACACGTCCACTGATACTAATTGTTTGTAAACCACAGTTTCCGACAACCGGAATACCTAAACAGCGTGAACTGATTCTTTCCACGCGAGCAGAGTGTAAAGCGAGAATCCAGAGGTGAAAGGCGTTTGCCCTGATGAATGCGAAGCTCATTTGCTTTCCTTTTTCAAGAAAAATTGTTAAGAAATCTTAAAATATCTCTAAAACTGTGCCTTCGAATACCATAAAATTGACCTGAATGTTTCACATATGTTAGCATTTTTACAAAAATTTCGCAGGAAAGAAAAGACTAAAGAAAAACATGGCAAGCCTTCGGAGGAAGATAAAGAAGAAAAGTTCACCAAAGTTTCACCAAGAAAGAAAACAAAAACATCTACTACAGGAGAAAAAGCCACAAGGTAGGTTACCTTGCTGTGAATCTCCACAAAAATCAGTCAGTTTTATCATAAATTCAGTTTATCTGACCTACATGCAACCTTATTCGTACTTAATTTCGCGCGTACTTAATTTTTCGAGGCAATATTTCTCGAGGCTTTATCTTCGCGATTTTGATAGGCGAAAATAGAAAACTGATATTCGACGAGAGTGAGTGGAATAACTGTTTTATTATTATATACACAAGATCTGAATTCACAGACTTTGCTTTTCGGATATTTTCAATATTTTTCTATTTTGTTTATGTTTCTAGCTTCGCTCTTTCGGCCGATTATTTTTTGAAAAATATATATTTTTAACCTTTTTAAATTTTAAAAATTCATTTGCTGTATTTTTAATCCTGTAAAGGCTATAAAAAGCGAACAACTTGCCGTTTTCTCGTTCGCAAAACGTCGGAAATTCATCCGCCATATGAGCTAATATCCTGCTAGTAGAGAACCAATCAGATTGCAGAATACCTCATATCCAGACCTTGTGTATATAATAAAAGGTATTATTGTATCCTTATTGAGCCAGTGGAAGTATCGCTACCGGAAAAAGTCCGAAGTGCATCCGGAGAAAATCTGCTAGTGTGTTAAATTATAATCAGAGCCGCATACAGTACACTTAACCAATATTTTTTTCGCAGACAAAATGTTCGTTCCTCCACCAAGGAAAGTACAAAAAGTTCGCCGACAAAAATGCCGCCTACAAAGAAGCGTCAAACAACGACTGAAGCAGTTTCATCTCCGAAAGAAAAGCGAGCAAAAAAGTCGCCTACAAAGATGATGAAAGAAGAAACACCAACGAGATTTTCACCTCGAAGAAATCAGAAATCCGCTATGGAAAGAAATAAAAGGTGCCTAGATGTTAATATATAACACCTGAGCCAGAAGGTTGAAAGGGGTACCAGAAAACAGTAATAGAATCCTAAATATCAAGATTTTTGAGGCATCTCACTTGAATGAATATTTGAAGGGTATTGTAGATGGAAATTGTCGAGTGGAAATTTATATACATTTATTAGACCTAACCAGGAACAGCGAAAAATGCAACTTTAGGTCCCTGGTAGGAATTGAACCTGTGGGCCTGCGATTCCGATGCAGGTTCAATTCCATGTGATTACGGTGCAGCGCTGCAGGATCAATTCCATGTGTTTACGGTGCAGCGCTGCAGGTTCAATTCCATGTGATTACGGTGCAGCGCTGCAGGTTCAGCGCCACAGGTTCAATTCCTGCCAGGGACCTAAAGTTGTATTTTTCGCTTCTGTTCCTGGTTAGGTCTAATAAATGTATATAAACTTCCACTCGACAATTTGCATCTACAATATACCCATCAAATAGAATCTTAAAGCCCGTTTTCCACTTCAACCGTATCATACCGTACTGGTGAGCATGCGTAGATTGAAAAAGAGTTGATAAATTCGCGTACTCTGGGTGTATTCGTGTATCAAAATGAAAAGTTCGTCGCAAGTCAACTTTATTGCGTACTGCGGAAGTATTAACCAGTCAACATTCACTAAATTTTGAAATTTAGAAATTGCTTGATACGTTTTGTTACTGTACGCTTGAAGTGAAAAACGGGCTTAAGACCCTTTTCAGAAAGCGTACTGTTCATGTGCCAAACTTTATTGTATTAATGCGACGCTGTATAGCAATGCGAGAACGGCAGTGATTCAAACCGGCCTACAAAATATTATGTTATTGACAAGGTTGGGGCTCATTCACGCGTGAGTCCTAAATACCATCATAATAAGTGAATTTTTAAATTACAAGATGGCGAATCTAATGCTATATAACAAATTTCAAAAACTTGAGTTAGTTGTAGCACACGAGTGGAGCGGCGTATGAATCCATGTCGCTGAACGTCGCATAATGCGCCACGAACTTCAAATGTGATTGTTGGTATATGTGTGATACTTGGATCATTCTGAGAAGAAATGTGGTATAACTTTGTAGTAAAAAACTTCATCATAATTATCAACTTTTTAGTCAACGTTTGCGGGTATTAATTGCAAATTTGTTTTCCTTCTTTTTCTCCAAAAGTTCACCCAATGACATCATATCTGGAAACTTTGACAGTGCAAACCTGAACATTTCCTCTTTCAATGATCAAAATATTACACATACCAAATATCCTATTTGCCACTTCTTTAACAATTTTAATTTTTCCAAACTCAAATTTTTTAAGAAGACCAAACCTTGATGAAGTAAAACGAGTTCTGGACAAGGAAGATTATCCTGATGAAAATTCAAAAACTCCCATGGACAAAAGGTTAAAATAGATTAACTAGCGGTTGCACTAAGTTGCTTTGCTTGTCCCTAGGGCCAGTTGTTCAAAGCTGGATTAGCGCTACCCTGGGTTAAAATTTAATCTGCTGTTTTAGTTTGTGTATTTCTGCACGTACGTTTATTTCAAAAATTCAGAGAAGTAAACTCCTATCGATCCAGACAAGATCTCTGAAGAAATATTTCCAAATTTATAGACAAGCTGTCAGGAAGTTTGCTTTGAATTTTAGCTTAACCTAAGGTTAAGCTAACCTAGCTTTGAACAACTGGCTCCTGGTGTTATAAACCCAAACTATCAAAGACGTTTTATCAAATAATATCATTATAACTTGAACTGTCTGTGCCAGTGTAGGTAGTGGCAATAATAACAAGCTTTCATTGGTAGGGATGCAACTACCTGAAAAATACAAGGAGAAATTCTACGTTTCGAGCGAAGGTCCTTCGTGGAGACGTCCCATTGTGCAGCAGATGATGGTCAATCAACAGTTGTCAGAGCGGGAAATTAATGATATTTTTTCATTAGATGCAGTAGTCTTGTACATGGATGCAAACTAACAGAATTGGCAGTTTAATTTTCATGTGTCAACATTTCTGGCATTGACCACCATCTGCAGTAATGCTTAGTGAAACCCACCTATTCACCCTCGATAATTACGTCACCAAACCTCCTTGGCCTGGGATCCTCGCTCTCATGAATCAAAACGAAAAGCTGCTCGCTCATGATTAATGCGAGCAAGGCTTCCTGGCCGAGAAGGGATTTGTGACGTAATTTTAAAAGGGTGTATCCCATATAAGCGCATGTGCCTATAAGTGGCCATTAATGATTTTTCGGTATTTTGGGGGTCAATGCACTTCCCCTTCCTCAGAATAAACCACTAAAATAGCAGGAAAGGATTGAGGGGGGATTTGCACGGTGGTATAACCGGCTCTCGTCAAAATAGAAGAAGCGATTCATGCACTTCTATTCGGGTATAGAGGCACATGCGGCTTTAAGCTATTGAAATTTGAGTTAGACAAATACTGTTTTAAGATACTTTATGAAATCTTCTTATGCTATACGAGTGAAAACTGTGTGGTAATATATAAGTGTTAGTGTCATGGTTGTACGAAAAACGAAAATCTTGCCCATGTTTATCCTTTCCAAATATTCTTAAATGATACGCTCAACTCACGTCTATATCTGGGGGTGCTTATGTGCGGGGAAATAGGGTACAGAGGGTGATTTTCCATTTGTGATTTTTGTTTTGTTTTTCAGGGCGAAAGATTCTCTTGGTGAAGTTGCAGTAAATGGCACCTCGCAGTCTACCACTGATGACAGTCAAACAGACACAGGCGTAAGTATTGTTCATATATTATATTATTGTGGTTTAAGGTGGCTCGATATAGTCGCTCGATATAATGCCCATTATTTGTATTGCTATTGATTTTAGTAAGAATACATGAAGATAACGTTTTATTGACGTTTAGGTTCCCAGTGCAGCACAAAATCCAGTGAAGAAACGCAAGATTGGTGAAGAAAATAGTCATGAGAACCCTGTGAAAAAGTCGTCCTTAGTTGTAAGATGTTACTAGAAACTAGAAGTTACTATCGCACTAAGATGTTACTAGAAACTAGAAGTTACTATCGCAAGGGGAAATGCTGCCGTATGGCCATAAAAAGTTGTTATCTCTCTGATTGCATGCGAACAAATATCACACCAGTATCAAGCTCATATATACAACTCGAGCGCATGGTATAGTCAGTAAAGATTCAGATAATATTTACAGCAGTACTTTTTGTGGCCTTGCTACTTCACAAAAAGAGTTTTATGCCATAGCACATTGTGATGTGCACGTGAGTCTCAAACAGGGTATTAGGAAGATTTAAATTTGTTATGGATTTCAAAATCATAAACTATGGGTCATATAACTATAAGCTTACCACCACCCGGTTTTTTTTTCAATTAGATTGTCCATTGTTGGTTTGATTGGAAACCGCAATATTTTTATTAGCAAACATTCTTTCTAAACTATCTATTCTAGGCTTAACTTGGTCTTTCCTTTCAGATAAAACGACAGCGAAAGCGAAGATAAAGGACACCATGCATGTGAAGAAATCTTTGTACAGCTGTATAAATCTAATTGTTACTTTTAACACATACGGTACTTGGTTGTATCTATAGTTTAATCCATTAAGGTTGTTAAAGGCCATGTATTCAACCTGAGGTTATCGATAACAAACCTTTCACAAATATTGCCTATCGGGCAGAGGGGCTTATACAAAGTGTCAAAATCTTGCAGTTGTATAAGGTGACGTTGACTGCCCATTTACTATCATAAATTTTACTTTCGTAAAATATTCTAAATTTAATACAGAAACCTTTTCATGTCAGGTTTGCTTATCCTAGAAAAAATGGTAGTTTTGGATATTCGTGTAACACTAACAACCTTGATTCTTTAAACTGTTTGCCTGCGGATGACGTATTTTATAAAGACTGCAACTTGTTCTATTCATTGACATGCGTTGTTAAAGTTGCTTATGTTAATAGCTAATTTTACCCTGTGAAAATAAATGTTTCTTTAAATTGATTTCAACTATAATGTTAATTATAATGTCAATATAACTCAACTATAATGGCTATAATATGATTTGAGAACACTACGAAACGGCATGCCTTGGATGAAGGCAGGTGTCCCAGGAAATTTGCCCCCCGGACCAAATTTCCCAGGAAATCTGGCCCCCTGGGGGGGGGCATAAATATCCCCCCCCCCCATTCGGAAATTTGGCCCCCTCGAAAATATAGTTTACTTTATCGCTATAAGCTCGGAAATCGTGAAGCTTCTTCTAAAACCAAGATCCTAAAAGTGTTTGTCAGTATTTATAGTTACTTTGCATAATTTATTTGTGTCGAAATTCTTCATTGCGGATATGCTAGTGCAGTCATGCCAGACACGTCACACATGGGTATCTGTAGAGGACAACGTTAATGCATAATGGCTTCGCTTTAAGTATTATTGAAAGCACGCGTGTAGGAGTGCTTTATCAGATATAAAACACGAGTGCGCAGCACGAGTGTTTTATATCTGATAAAGCACGACCCCATCTACAAGTCCATCTCAAAGCACGACCCATCTTACGAATAAAATAAGCATTGTCTAAGCCGAGCAAATCAAAGCTAAAGTTTATGTAAATTAACATGAATTTTTGTCACGTATAAAACCACCGACACGGCAGCGATTTTGTTTGTCTCCTCATGAATTATTAATGATTTTTAAGGCAATAAAGATGTAGTGCATTTAGAATTTATTTAGTGTACAAAATATATCTAGATACCAGGACCCGTTAGGATAAAATTTTAAAGGTTCATTGTTAAAACTGCTTTATTTCACTTAAACTATATTGAATTGTATTATATTTACATGGTAAAACAAGGAACATTAAAACACTAAATACTGTAGTTGATAGTTACTTCTGCTAAAATATTACATACTAAAACCACCAAGGTGGTTTCCTTGTTTAAAATTTAAAGTTTGATCATTATGATCTATTGTCTACTATGCTATCATTTAGTTATTAGTTATCAGCATGTCTGATACTAAGCTATTTTATATTTCTATGAACATAGTTCTTGTTAGCTTTCTCTGAGTACTGGCATTCTGATAATACACGCTTCCGGAAAGTATGTCACCTTAGCTTAGAGTTGAAAGTATGTCACTTCGTTTTCGTTATTAAGACGTGGGTTTGAACTGATGTCAGACACACGAAAACGAGGCTCTATAGCCAAAGTGACGTACTTTCCGGAAGGGTGTATTGCTATAATAGTATAAACCTTTCACATAATGTACAGCTGTAAACTGATGTACAGCACACACGAGATGTTCCACACATTTTCAGGTGCAATGGTCTTCGCAATCACTCGTGTTGCTTGCCAGTCTTCTGTAACTCTTCACCACCAGCAGTGAAGAAGTGATTTCATACTTGAGTTTCAGTTTTCGGTTTCATCATACCATTGGAAATATCTTCTAACGAAGGCGCAAACAGTTCATCAAGACCTGCCAAAAATGAATAAAATATGTTTGTTTGCATTGCATTGCATTATGTCCATTATCAGAGATGCAGCGCCCGGTATTGACTAGAGCTTACATGCAGAAATGTTCATCATTTAGGGGCGGACCATTATAAATCCCGGGAGGGGGGGGGGGGGGTGAAAATTCCCCCCAAAAAATTTGTGCAAAGAAAAATGCCAGGAAAAAAATTCGCGCAGCCATTACGTCAGAGAAAAAAAAAACCCTGCAAGCAAAGTGCAAATAGTCTTGAAAAAAAATTCTTGCAGAGGTTAAATGCACACAAAAAATCCTGCAGAGACATGAGACTGAAAAAAGTTCGTGCCGCAAAAATTTTATACTCCCCCTCGCGGAATTTCTAATGGTCCGCCCCTTATGGACTTTTCCATGACAGTTAAGGGACCGCTCATTATTTATTGTACAGGGGGGGATTGAGGAGAAACTGGGGGGGCCTTTAAATTTTTCAAAACCTGAAAGGGGGGACTTTGAAAAAATACAGAGAGACGAAAGAGGGGGGGCTTTGAAAATATTTACCAGTTTGAAAAAACAGTAGTTTTAAAAATGTATCACAAAACAACTTAACAACAAATAACAATATTTATAGACTATAATATTCATAAATGGAAGTCAAATAAAAAGTCTCTCGTGTTCATGTAAATAGACAATTCCCATTATAGACTAATTTTAGAACTAGGCAAAGATATGCAAATCAAGGCCGGATTTTGGTGAAAATAGTGGGGGAGGTGGACAAAAATTTTAGGAGAGGTGCAGCGGTCTAGCTCACAACTCCCATGGAAAGTTAGGGCCTATTGTAGAACAGGCCAATATCAACGAGGTGAGGTATGCATGTAGTGTACATAATATGTACCAGTGTATTAATGAATTATGAATGTATGACTCCAATCTTGCCCTTCATTACAATTGCTACACTGTTCCTTTCAAAACATTGCATTAAAAGGGTGCTTGACATGGCTATCACTGTTTCAATTTTACAGAGAAAACTTTCTTCCGTCACAAAGTGTAGATCCTAAGCAACCATCACATTTTCACTTTGTTCCATCATTGAAACTTTCCCAAGGGGAAGTGCATGACCTTTCAAGAGAGGTGGAAAAATTCTCAGGGGAGGTGCAAAACGATCTCTGGGGAGGTGCGCACCTCTCCACACTTCCCTCAAAATCTGGCCTTGATGCAAATAAATCACCACAGCTAGAAAGAGCATACTAAAATAAGTAAATTATTGCAAAGTTTGGTTGCAAATTGTTGCAAAATACGGATAATATAGCCTTGCAAAGTTTGCAAATTTTGTACACTTTTGTATTGCATGCGAAAATTGCAATTATACAAAAGAATACAAAATTTGCAAACTTTGGAAGGCTATATTTTCTACATATTTTACAACATTTTGCAACCAAACTTTGGAATTTTACTAATTTTAGTATGCCCTTCCTGGGAATATACTTTTTTTGCTAAGATAAAAAATTAGTCTATAATGGGAATGTCTATTGGTCCCCATTACCTATTTTTCTTTCTCTAAAATAAACAGCTAGAGTTTTTGTTTCTCTAAATAAAGATAAAGAGCTAAAGGGGGGGGGGGCAAAACTTATGTTCTTGTTTTGCTTGTTGGGGGGGGACTTTGAAAATTTTACTTGTCTTAAGAGGGGGGCAACGAAAAAATATTATAACTGTAGAGTTTCTCCCCAGTCCCCCCCTGTACAATAAATAATGAGCGGTCCTTAAGCGTCTACGATTGTGCACCAAATTAAATTAATTATATGTTCGTTTGAAGACTGATTTAATATTCTTTTTGCTTTCGGACAGTTGTTTTTTTCGTACAGACTACAGTTGTTTGTTGGCCAGTTGTTTTTTTTATAATATAATCATCAAAATCAACGCTAAAGAGGTTTAATTCGTCTCAACAAAAAAGCGTTGATGAAATATTGATATATATCCCTGTCGACCTACTTGTCAGTTGTGAAATCAAACTATTACTATATTTTTACAATTGCCAACTTGCAGTGGCGGCGGAACAGGGGGCTAGGGGGGCTAAAGCCCCCCCCCCCCAGAAGTAAAAGTGGGGGGGCTAAGCCCCCAAGAAAATTTTGTTTTCTCTGGAAAAATTTTGGTAATTAAGGAAAAATGTAGGTTATTTTTGGAAAATTTAGGTATAAAGGGAAAAATTTGGGATATTTTGTTTAAAAATGGAGTATTTCCGGAAAAATTTTTTGTTAGAGGTCCGGAAAAATTTTTTTCATCCCTTTTCTTGTATATGTCCGGAAAAATTTTTCTACCCCTAAAATGGTACACTGACCGAAATTTTTTTGGCGACAGGGGGGGGAGCGGAAAAAAAAATTTAGCCCCCCCAAACTGAAATCCGTTCCGCCGCCCCTGCCAACTTGCTAGTTTATTTTATCCTACGTTACTATTCAGTATATTTAAGTTATTCTCAGCCAAATTTCGGTTATAAAGTATAAAGTTTTAAATTTTGCAAATATATATATAGCGGGCTCAAATTGTAGTCATCGGTTTACTGCCTCGTCCCCAGTCGCTTGCTATCAAATAATTAATTAGGAAAAGACGAAAATTAATGGGAGCGCGCGGAATGACCTTTGCGCGCTCGTCCTTAGTTGCGGGCGTGCGCCTAAAGGCGTGCGTCTTTATCGGGCTTGCAGTGCACGCGCTGATCTATATATTACCGATATTTAAATTTGATCAATATAGAGGAGCCTGCGGAGGAGGCAGATCGGTTTACATGCAAAACGAAGGCGCGCGCGTTTAAAACCGGTTATAACTGGTTTATTACCGGTTTACTTCGTCCAGAATTTTGGCCGAACAAAAACACAAAAACGGCGGAGCCTTATTTTCTACGCGAGGGGAAATCAGGCTCTGCTCTCAGGGTAATGACAGCCGCGTTGTCTATTTTTTTAAATGGCAAAAAATGTGGAATAAGGGGGGGGGCATAATTTCAATTTTATTTCCGAGTGAGGAGCACTGCCCCCCCCCCCAGCTACGGGCCTACTCATTATACACGGCAGCCGGGCTGAAATATCGAAGCCGACGCAGGGTTTTATATCGAAAATGTAATCAAACAAATATAAACTTTAAGGAGTCGCACTAGCATCAAAATGCTGTTGTTTCAATAAACGCATGGGCGTACAGGAAGGAAAAAATTAGGGGGGCAGAAAGAAATTTGCCCGACTTTTCGGGACTGTGCCCGACTAGTACCTAAAAAAATTTTTCCGGAAAAATTATTTCGGCGACCTCGGTCAGTGTATCATTTTAGGGACAGTGTAAAATTTCGGTCAGTGTATCATTTTAGGGGTCAAAAAATTTTTCCGGACATACCAAAATTTTTCGGAAAATCACACAAATTTTACAAAAAAAACACAAAATTCACCACAAATTGACAGAATTTGTCCCATTTATTTTTATTACAAACCAAAATTGCCCGACTGTTGATCGAATATTGCCCGACTGCCCCCCCCCGCCCCCCCCCGCCCGGTACGCCTATGAATAAACGCTTAAAAGTTTCACACAGTGTCAGTGAACTGAGTGCGTTTAAGACAGTGAACTGAGTGCAGTTTTGTGTTTCAATAAACACTTAAAATGAGTTTCAAAACATTTTGTAGTAAAAAATTTCAATCTATATAATGAAGTTCAAATTAGTTTGTTTCAGCCCTGAGGGCTGAAATATATACATATATACTGTGTATATATATATATATATATATATATATATATATATATATATATATATATATATATATATATATATATATATATATATATATATATATATAATACTACACATTATGTCTAAGCCTTTATGCGCACGCTCACTGCATTTCACAGTTTTAAAAACGGCGATAAAGCACATAAGTAAAGACATTGTAGCGCCCTTCAAGGAAAGCTCAAACAACGGCAACTGTGGACAGCTGTTTCGACCTTTTTGGGGCTCATCAGCACAGTGCACCGATGATGAGCTTCCACATACCAAGAATATATATACTATAGAAGACAGTGTGGTGGATGTGGGACACTACAGAACTTTATATACTACACATTATGCCTAAGCCTTTACACGCACGCTCACTGCATTTCACAGTTTAAAAATTGCGATAAAGCACATAAGTAAAGACATTGTAGCGCCATTCAAGGAAAGCTCAAACAACGGCAACTGTGGACAGCTGTTTCGCCCTTTTTGGGGCTCATCAGCACAGTGCACCGATGATGAGCTTCCACATACCAAGAATATATATACTATAGAAGACAGTGTAGTGTGGTGGATGTGGGACACTACAGAACTTTATATACTACACATTATGCCTAAGCCTTTATGCGCACGCTCACTGCATTTCACAGTTTAAAAACGGCGATAAAGCACATAAGTAAAGACATTGTAGCGCCCTTCATATATATATATATATATATATATATATATATATATATATATATATATATATATATATATATATATATATATATATATATATATATATATATATATGTTAATCATCACGATATGGCATAAATGCCATATCGTGATGATTAACATATATACGGCTGAAGAAGACATGTTACTGTCGAAATGGTATCAGCAAATTCGGCATGGCTTTGGTGAGTGGCCATGTGGGGGTTCAGGAATTGTTGTGGCTGGTTGGGTTTGAATATACCATCGGGCTGATAGCTCAGTTGGTAGAGCGATGGGCTTGTAACCCAGAGGTCGCCGGTTCGAATCCGACTCAGTCTCAACTTTTCCTGTTCACTAAAAAATACTTACCTACGGTGATTAACATATATAAAAATTATAAATGCCATATCGTGATGATTAACATATATACGGCTGAAGAAGACATGTTACTGTTGAAATGGTATACAAATTCGGCATGGCTTTGGTGAGTGGCCATGTGGGTGTGCAGGAATGGTTGTGACTGGTTGGGTTCGAATATACCATCGGGCTGATAGCTCAGTTGGTAGAGCGATGGGCTTGTAACCCAGGGGTCGCCGGTTCGAATCCGACTCAGTCTCAACTTTTTCTGTTCACTAAAAAATACTTACCTACGGTGATTAACATATATATATATATATATATATATATATATATATATATATATATATATATATATATATATATATACTATATATATATATATATATATATATATATATATATATATATATATATATATATATATATATATATATATATATATATATATATATATATTAATTATTGCTACTCAAGTATGTTGTCCGACCATGTGTCTGGGATCTAGATGTAAATCTTCTTGCCATTAAGTATGGCACTATATGCCATAACAGTATCTTTATATTGCAGCATAGAAACAGTTCTAATATGATCATACTTTCTCGTGCCTGTGACAGCGGTTCGTGCAGCAAAATTAATTAACGTCTTGTAAATTATAAATATCTATTGTAAACTATCTACATAACTATACATTAATTAACGAAAAGTCCTTAAATTCAATGTACCTTGTGTTTATACAGTGAACAACTTGGTGTATACTCGCTCACATTCTCCTTTCCGGACACATTTATAATTATTATGCCTTTCACCTATACGGTCGGTTGTGACACAACCGACCGTATAGCTGAAAGGCATAATAATTATAGATAAATACAGTACAAGACGCCAGCTCAGGCGTTCACTCCGGCTGGAGGAGACATGATGCGCACAAAATTGGTATATAGTACGTATAAGAACAAAGATGCGTAATTTTAATTTTCCAGTATTGAACTGAGATATTATACACGCGACATGACTGAAAACAATCTTAGTTCAATTGTTCCTTTTAATTATGTCTTGCGAACTGCTGAAAATAGCAAAAACTGATAAATTTTAAACCTTGTCCTTTTTCATATTACGCCACTCTGTTGAAAATAATTTCAATTCAATTCAATTTATTCAATTCAATTCAATTTATTTACCATTTCTTTCAGTTATTTACATTGATTATTGTAATAATATTTAGGTATATATTTATATTTATGTATGTCAAATTAAAAGTGGCGAGAAGACCTCAGGAAGTCAAAGACTTGTATTAAGAGGCCATCTCATTGTTATTCATTGTTTTTTTTTTCAAAAAAAAATTATTTGTTGTTTATAAATGAAGCTCCTATATTGTACATGTAGCTACTAATTGTTTTCAATCAAATATTTTTTCAATTTTCTTTTGAAAGAAGAAGTGATATTTATTCCTGTTATTGATGAAGGAAGACAATTCCATATTTTCGGACCCTGCATGATGTAGGATAGTGAATTGTTTTATGTTAGTTCGACATGCCTGAGACCTATATTTGGCCGCAGCTCTAGTATTATGATCGTGAACTTGATTGTTCGAAATAAATAAGTTGTCAAAACATTCAGGTAATAAATCGCGGCTATAAATACCATAAATATACCTATACAATGAGTATTTAGTTTGAAGATATCTAATATATTTAATTTTTTGAAAAGCGGAGCAGAATGAGCACGGTAATCTGAGTTAGTCATTGCTCTAACAGCTCGCTTTTGCAAAAGATAGATTCTCCTCACATTAGTTTCATATGTTGAAGACCAGACTATATTACAATATGTTAGATAAGGGTATATTAAACTATAATATAAGGAAAGTTGTTGGCTGTTAGCCAATCACAACATTTCCCCGTTAAATGACTGAAATACTACAGGTTTACACGCGTGACACCTATATAGGGAACTTCGTAACCAACGAACAGCGTATACCAAACTGTAAGATGCAAATTTGATGAGAGCTTAGCTTTTGATTACAGAATAGGCCGTCAGTACAGTCTATGCCTATTGCTTTGGTTTGTTTCGTTTTATAACTTTCGTTTTATGAACTAGAAATTGTCTTGTCATATAATTGCATGTGGCAATAAAATATTGCCGCAGAGAGAACTTTGAACGAACATAAATCTCGATGATTTTGTCTTTAAAAGCATAGTAAAACAACATCTTTTATCCATGGCGGACCGATCGCGTAGTAGAAACCGTCGCAAAGTTTTATTAAATTGCAAAAATGTTTATTAAAATTGATCGTAAAATAAGTACAGAAGCTGCAGTTTAGACGCGTGACAACAAGTGTTTCGTATATGGACCACGGTAACCCAGCCTAGTTTGAACATACGTGTTGTAATATTCCTCAAATACGACGATAATAAAGATTTACCATGATGATTTTCAGTTCAAAGTTTCAGTGGCAAAACTTTTACTTGAAAATTTCAGTTGCAACGAAATAGCTGAATATTCCATTTTGTGTTCATTGATGGAAATTGGAGAAACAGTGTGCAAACCTATCGTCGCAGAGCGACTAATAAGAGACATGACAAGAGGCATAGAATCAGTAAATCGATTCCGTTTCCATTTCATGACCCATCTGCACTTTTATTTTTAGTAGGCTATAGTCTAGTTTTTGCATGGATTCCTGACAACTGCATCGTCCTTAAAATTATATATTACGTTTATACACCACGAATAGTCCTTAAAATGTTTGTTATTCCCAAATAAGGGACCGGTCATAAAGTAACTGCTAGGGTGGGCCGGAGTGATTTGGGATGGGCCATGGAAAATCTTTGGGCAGTTTCGATGGGCCGCCAAATATTTTGTATGTCTACGGATGGGCCACCAAACAAAAACCCATGTCTACTTTCATCCAGGGGCGTAGGAAGCCAGGGGGCCTCAGTGCCAACCATGGTGGCACCTTGTGGGAGTCGGCCCCCTAACTTTTACAAGCTTCCCTGCTTTCATCACTTATTATGATAAATATAATAGCAAATAAGATTTTAAAATCAAACATATAATACAAATCTAACAAGCTGTACACTGCACATAGGGCAGCAGGGACAACTGCCCCCCCCCTAAAATTTAACTAATTTTATAATGTGATTATGCTTGTAACGGATAATTATGCAGTCAGGAAATAAAAATTTCATGCAAACAATATTCAAAGTGTCTATACAGCCGGTCATTTAGTAAACTGTCACTTGTCAATCCATACTCATCGAATTTTCAAAACTTTATTGTGATCATATGAAGCAAAAGTTCTGTCACTTGTTGTTTACACTTGCCAATGTTAACTGTTGAGTAACATACACACTATTCGAGGAACATGCATTACTGTAGCAAAGATGTCAATCATATATATTGAAGACCATGCACTGAATAGTAGAGAATGTTTTGAAGGTAATTTGTGAAGTATATAATTTAATTCCAACCCAGTGCACAGTTAATGATATACCACACTGTTCGGTTTAACTCAGCATATCCACACAAAAACAATTTGTGTTGTGGGAGAATATCTGTTTGAGTAGAAGGTATCACAAGTTTAGTTTTGTACATTGTCTGCCATTGATCTGATCCATCCATATAATATATGATTATTGTAGCAATAAGTTATTTTACATACTGATGAATTTAGGTAAGATTGTCTTGCAAGTGGGTTGTTCTGACAATTATCCAGCCAATATCCAGTATTCATCTCTAAACAAAAACATTTATATTAGAAAGCAAGATGACAATGTAATGAGGAGGGAGGGTGGGGATTCTTTTATTAGCATTTGAAAATGGTTGTAACAATTTTGTTTAATTAACTCTATTGTGTAAACTGTAAATATATATGCAATTTTGTTTACAAACCTAACTAGTGGCCTACATTAAAAAGCCTGTAAAGGTTTCCAATAGGTCTCTAGCCCATCACCTTCAAACTACAAATAGTTTTGTTACTTATAATATATTGTACACATGGGAAATAAATATATGATTGATTGAAACCAAAATGTATAAGTATAATTTAACTGATGACATCTTTACCTTTGCTCTAACACTACATTTGATGACTACATTTTGGACTGTTGTTTTGAACAGAGTTACAGAAATACAGGACCAGGATTTAATTCAATATCTCCTGAGAACATTAGTTTCTTGTGACATTGTTAATTGGCAATATAATGCCTGCAGCCAGAGTTTTGACTGTTTAAGAATTTATACACAATGATTGTTCAGAGATGATTGTTTTTATACTGTAGAAATATATATAATAAAATATGTGGTATTTGGCTATACTTACCAGATAAGGATACGTTTCCATGTTGATAGATAACTTTGGAATAATATCACAAGTAGAATGGTCAGCCAATTTAAGATAAAATCAAAATATTTTTGAAGCCAAAATATGGCAAAGAATAACACGAGTACACGACTTACACCGTTACACCAGGCCAAACTACGCCCGTTCGCAGGTTAGGTACAATTGATGTAAGCTAATCGCTGATTGGCTTAATTATATAAACTCGTCGCTGAATGGCTATGGGTAACGTTAATAGTAATCTGCTTCGCAGATACAAAAATAAAGATATACACCAGCACTGTATTGATATAATATGTTCATACCTACAAGTTTTTTTCATAATAAAAGTGTACTTTCCCAATTTAGATTGGGTGGGTGGGTCATGAAATAAATTTGGTAAGATTGGATGGGCTTTGAAATTTTTATCGACATCCTAGGATGGGTCACCAAACTTATTGGCAAAATTTGTGATTTACCTCCAGCCCACCCTAGCAGTTACTTTATGACCAGTCCCTAAGGGAAAGAACTCTATAGAATTAACAATGAGCGAAAACAAGGTAAAAGAAGAAAATACATAAGTATATGCATGCCGACAATTCAGTTAATATTTTAAATATACAGATCAGATACAATTTAAGAAAATATTATCATCATTATACTGACCGCATAAGCATACAGCATAAGTATACATAACGTTCGGCCATTTGATTATCACCTCCCAATTACCCCCAACATACCTCCCTAATTTCGGGCATTTATTGTGTAGGCGCTGGAAGAAGGTGTCACTCCAAGTGAGATTTGTTCAAAATATTTTAAAATTCACAGCGAAGTTTATGAATGGTTTAATGTTCAGTTTGATTACTTTGGAAGAACAACCACTGAAGAACAGACAAAGTAAGTCCTCTTTAATTATATTATAGAATGCGAAGTGGGGCTTTGGTGGCATATAGTCATCCGATCAACCACCTTGACTGCACGTATAATAGAATAAGTGAACGCTCAAAAGACAAAGTAGTTGGTTTTCTTAAGCACGCGCGGGCCTGCAACAATATTGGAGAATGTTCGATAAAAATCTTAAACAAAGTCAAACCTGATATCCAACATTAGCTAACATTCCCAAATATAATATATACAACGTTCAAGCAGACCTAACCGATTGGTGCATCTAACAATGTGGGATGATATTGAAAGCAGAGAGGGTGGGTTAGGATATATAAATTAGTTAATTAACAGTTAGACAACCAGGCCGAGTTGTCTATGAGTGCAGCAGGGCCTTTTTTAAGGATTTTCCCGTGGGGGGGGGGGCATGTTTTAAAAAGGGACCTTTCTGTGAGATAATATGTTAGAGGGGGATAGCAATGGCTGAAGGCCACGTGTGTGGCCAACATACCACGCATGAATGGGGAAGTCTGAGGGAGTACTCCCCCAGAAAATTTTTGAAATTTGAATCCCGGAAATGTCATTTCCTGCATTCTGAGCATCCAAATTTGCTCCAAAATTTATGCTAACTATACTTGTATTTGAAATAAATAAAGGAAAAAACGCACAAAAAGTTAAAAAATAACCATCATTTATCATTATTTATTAGAGGAGGATAGCAATGGTCAGCTGTGTGGGGGTATACTCCCCCAGAAAATGTTTGAAATTTGAAGCACGGAAATGCCATTTCCTGCATTCTGAGCATCCAAATTTGCTCTAAAATTAATGCTAACTATACTTGTTGTTGTATTTGAAGTAAAAGATGGAAAAAATGCGCAAAAAGTAAAAAAGAATATTAACTGTAATTTATCATTACTTATTAGAGGGATAATCCCCAGAAAATTTTAGAAATTTGAAACACGGAAATGCTATTTCCTGCATTCTGAGCATCCAAAAAATAACAAAATTATTAACAATAATTTATCATTACTTAGTGGTAGAAAAAAGTAACAATTTAAATCGATTTTGTTAAACAAGGACAAAGCCTAAAACTTACTTTCCGTTTATGTATTTGTTAATCTTCGCTGGTTTGTTTGTATAATTTTCGGGAAAAGGGACTTTTCCTGGGGGGGCAAAATGTGATTTCGTGGGGGGACACAAGGGGGGACTGGGGGGGAAAATGCCCCCCAGCTTGTATGTTAAAAAAGGCCCTGGAGTGCAGTCAACGAAGTCGTATAGTCTGAGTTGACTATTCGGCATAGCCATAGACAACGAGACTAACGAGGCCGAGTTGTCTAATTGTTTTAGTATGCACTCCTGCTATGAATACAAGCTCCAAGCATAGTTACTTAATTGTAAAGATTTATAAATAAATTTAAAAGCATGCACGAGCGTTTGAATGATCTCTTTTTTAACCTTATAGCATACTTCGCTTGTGGCTTTTTTGTTTACTTTTTGCAAACATCCGGCGAAAAGTGTTTTTAAAAACACACAGCTCGTCAGCCTTGAAAATATTTTAAAACAGGACGTATAACAGTCATGATATTAAGGGAAAGCACAAGCGAAGATTCAATATTATACGAAACAAGATTTAAAAGACCAGACCCCGAAATGTTGCAGTAGTTTACGTAAAAAGACGTATAGGCTACAATGCACGCAAAGCAATCTTAATGCCGTTGAAATCGATGAAATACATGACAAAATGATAACTGTGGAAAACAATACTACAATCACCCGAAATGCACTGTTAATTGACCCCAAAAAGTGGAGTAAATAAAAAAGGTACAGAACGTACCTTTTTTATTTACCCCACTTTTGGAGTCAATTCGACTCCTTTGGAGACAAAATGACTCCTATATATTGCAGTAAAGAAAAGTCCTTAACTAACCTTAGAAATTTACTCCGTTATTTTTACTCTTTTGCTTGAGTTATTTTTTCTCCTTAAGTGGAGTTAAATTGACTCCCAGTCTGGGCCGTACACAGCGGGGGCAGGGGGAGAGGCAGCTGGGGGGGGGGGGAAGGAGGGGGGGCAACTGCCTCCTATAGAGAAAACTATATCAACTGCCCCCTGGTGAAAAAATCTTGCGTATGGCCCTGCTCCCAGTGGAGTATATGTTCGAATATATATATATCAAAGTGGAGTAGTTTCAACTCCATTTTTGGAGTAAATTTAACTTCAAACTTTTACTCCCAGTTTTAACTCTCAGGTGGAGTTAAAAATAACTCCTTGAAATTAACAAGGTGCATAGAGTCTGACAAAATTTTATCGAAAAACGTGGAAGCTACAAGGAAAGTTGTTTTTAGGCCGGAAATGCCGAAGCAACCCCAAAAGGGGAAAAAACCTTAAAATATTGCTGCTATAAACAAACAAAGAAACTAAAAGAAACAAACACTAGACAAAGAAACACTTAAAAAACGAGGAAAACATAGGATTAAATAATTACACGCTGCTGAAATTCAACGGTTTTGCTTGTAATATGCACAAAAAAATTTGTGTTCAGTAATTCCGCCTGTCTTCATGCCACAGAAGTAACAGCAGATTTATTATTAAAATCCGGTTTAAATTCCCACCATTCAACGTCTTCACATCATATTTTGTAGTCTTTTTTCTTCTTCCGGGAAAGAATTTCCTATACAAAATTCTCACGAAATCTTTGCAAAACAAATGTTTTCCGCCATTTTTTTTCAACCATGGACCTTGGTTGAGTAGCCAATCAGAATGTTGGATTTGTAATGGTCGCCGGTTGAATGTATATTAATAATAATAATAATATTTAATATTTATATTGGGCAAATTAACATGTTATAGTATATGATCAAATGCGCAAATAATAATAATAATAATGGAAACTTTAATAATTTTGTTATATACTATATATATACAATTGTAAATCTCACTAATTTAAGGTAACTTACAATTGGCTATTTGAATCACAACTATATCAACTAATAAAAATGATAAGACAGAATACATGAAAATATATAAGTATACAAGACAATCAGATATTTCAAATAGTTAACAAGTCCGGACTTTCCCATTCCTTATTTCGGCAGCAAAAAATATAGTATGTACTTCGAATGGCAATAGTCATCATTTTCCTAACACAGTACGTTTGGTAGTTTTTGTCCAGACCAACATTTCCTAACATTTCTAAGAATGTAGGGCATTCTTGCGCAAAAATACCTAGGGAGCTCATAGAAAGATTTATAAAGTTTACTTCGTTAAAATTTTCGTCTAGTTGTTTTACTAGTTCTTTATATTTGGCTTTTTTCCGATTAACGTTGTTCTCGAGGTTTGTCTCATAGCCAACAGTGAGCTCGACCACATAAAGAGTCATTTGATAACGATAGCAACAAATCCGGGCGATACGTATCACCAGTTATTATTGAAGGACTTTTGAATCCAGGCAATCAGCGTAGAGGGCAGAACCGTTCACAGTTTGCAAGGTATTGGCAAGGAAGTTCAGGATTGAATTGTGTCTCCACGTAAATCGATCTTGATAACACTGACATCCAGCGACCACGTGCAATAATGATTCTGGGCCAAGACAAAAGGAGCATTCTGAACTTGAAGACAATCCCCATCTGCTAAGGTTCTTGCGTGTCGGAAGAGAGTTATTGATATAGCGTATGGTGAAGTTATAAATGTTTTTTGGAAGTTTTGATTGAGCAGTAGACCACACTTTGCTAAGATGCGACAAGGAGAACTTTGTTACACTAGAGAAAAAGGATCCCTGACAAGTTAATTGATTTTGGAGTTTATCTTCGTGTTAATAATAATAATAATAATAATAATAATAATAATAATAATAATAATAATAATAATAATAATAATAATAATAATAATAATAATAATAATAATAATAATATCACAAAGGAGAGATATACAGAGAGGAAACTCGCGGCAAATTATGTCACGCACTTTTTACCAATATCTTAACTATTTAAAATTATATTAATTCATTAATTATTAATTAAATTAATTAAATTTTGATAATACAGAGAAATAAAACTATACATATTATAGAAGAATTCATGTTTTTTTATGCGAGAGTTATATTTTGAGGAATTTATATCATTCGCTGCTTTGTTATTTATATACATGAGCGTCTGGAATTCCTAGCCTGCAGTTTATTTAGATAGGGAAAAAAACAAACTTTTGCTAAATAAATTGTTATATTAACACTTTTAATAAAAGGAAATCAATAAAAGTGATCGCATACCGTTATCATCTACAATAATTTATTGAACAAAATTTCCATGGATATCTCATTTTTTTAAAAAAGCAATTTTTACCTTTCGAACGGCGTTTTCCCTATGCTTTTGCTATGCAATTTCAGCGACGGCACTGGCTGGGAAATTTTACGTGGCGCGTGGAAATTACGTTTGCGTCTTTGCGCGTGACATAAAAATTAAGGTTATCGACTGCGACTAGTTTCCTCTCTGTATATCACTTTCCTCTGTGCTACTTTGTGTTTGTTTGTCTTAATAATAAAAAAGAACTCACGGAGCAGCGAAAATCTACTAGATACTAATGTTTCAAAAAAATTAGTGTCCGCAATCTCATGAAAGATAAAGTTTTGAGATGAAAATATTTATTCTTACATTTTCTTTAGAATTTCTCAAGATATTTTTTGGAAGAATTATCACAATGGCCTAACACTGGAAGAGACAGTAGAACAGCTACACTGCGGAAATTGCAATAGGTAAGGCAATCACGATTTCGGCCGGAAAGTCTGGGGTATATAACCTAGGAATTAGTAGTTCTTTTGGGATCAGAATAATTATCCCATTGTTCTTTTTTCGTTTTGCAGTACTGTTATTAAACTAAAGATTTTAATTTTGGTTCTAAATTTAAAAATCGATTAAAGTGCTAACGTATCGTTCACTCTCCTTACGATGGCATTATAAATAAAATTTAACATGACAAAATCATATTTTGATAAACTTTCTTATAGCTTCTCTCGTTGTGCATGTTTGGTATGCAAAGACTTAATATATATATGACCGTCATTATGATATCATATTGCATAATGAGTTACTAGAAAAACAATCAACACGATATTCTAGACTATTATTATTTCTTTTTTAGATTTTTAGCTGACCGATTTGTGGAGGGAACATGTCCACTTTGTGGTTTTCACGTAGGTTTGCAAGATCTATTTGAATAAACCTATAATTGAGTAATCATATTTACACTCAATAGACTATACCCAATTCATATTTTCGCATAACTCACATGACTTAGGGCCTGTTCATATGATCCCGCTTACCGGGACGTCTCGCTTACCGAGATGAATATTTCCGTGCGTTCATATGGAGTATTTCGTCCCGCTTGCCGAGATGAAATTACAATGTAGTTCTATAATTAGCGTATGCAAAACTTCTACATTTCAGTCAAGCAACACAAATACTTGGCGATTTTAGTGTTTTTCTTCGTTTATTTACAAGAAAAAGTATTGCTTCAGGTGGTTATTTAATACTTGTTTACAAAACAAACATAAAACCAAGTAAAAAGTGTTAAATTAAACCGGCAAGACTTGTTTCACTTCATCCCGGTAAGCGGGCTGGCGTGTTCATATGGAAACATTTTCATCCCGCCTACCTATGATCTCGGCAAATTCAAACGAGATCTCGGCAAGCGGGCCAACTCGCTTTCCCATATGAACACAATGCAAAATTTTATAGGAAAATAGATAGGCGGCGAGATCATCGGTAAGCGAGACGTCCCGGTAAGCGGGATCATATGAACAGGCCCTTAGCTTGTTACCACAGTTTGGATAATGTAAGCAAGTGCATGATCAATGAGCTAATTAATCGCCTGGCAGCAGGCATACGTAAGCACGAATCTGCTGATTAGGTTTATTGCTTAGTTTATGCATTTTTGGGTTACGAAATACACTCTAGAAAATGTTTGACTTTCACTTACTTTCGAATGGTTAGGGCGGGGCAGACATCTCATACAGATTTTACGAGATTTTAAAGGTTAAGAGGCAATTATCAATAATGCTTTAAAATTGACGCCATATTTACAACTATATAAGCAAAACTGAACTTGAGACAAATTATTTATTTTTTCTTGGCATGCCATATATAAAATCTCTTCATTTTAGCATTATTTTACAAATTGACCGATTGACCGAGTATCGAGAAAAACAAAAATTTTGAATGTAGTCATAATCGCAAGTCGTATATATATTATATACTTGTGTCTCGTTTTGAGCGCGTGTTATACGTATATCACAAAAAATCTCCTCTTAATATATTCCAACAGGATGCTCGTGGTGACCAATGTGATGCTTGTGGCAAACTCATTAACGCAACTGAATTAAAGGTACTCTATATTTGATGTGATGGCATGCATGCACGTTTCACTAACCACGATCATGTAGCAGGCGGTGCCTTCTGGAAAATATCAGATTGAGGAAATTATGTAAATTCTTCCATTACGGTGCTTAAATTTCCCACAGCTATCTACTCTGTGCACGCCCACAGGGAAAGTCAGAAAATATTTTTTCCCGCTGCAGTTGCTGTCCAGCTTGACAGTTTTCAGTCCGCTTTGGACCTTGCGTGCACGAAATGAAAGGTGAACTAAATTCAGCTTTCTTAGTGGCGTGCACGTGCTATTGTAAGTATTATAATTACACATATGACTTGTATGCAGGTAGGTCGTTCGTCCCGCGCGGGCAAAGCGACCGTAATGGACAACGGCTTTTAGTGTTTAGTACATATCCTGCTTTTTGGTAATTCATGTCGTATGTTTGCTTTCTACTTGCAACTTTCTGTTTTTAGTCTCCTCGATGTAAAATTTGTAGTCAAACACCGACAGTTAAGAAAAGCAGACATCTTTTCTTAGACTTGACAAAGGTGCGTATTGAATTGTTGTTTAATCATGCCAAAGAAACTATAGCCTACATACAGCCGCTTTATCTACCACAATGCAGAAATAATCTATCATGGTGTATGTCCAATATTGGGGTTTCATGTATAGATTGTTGTATTCAACAATAATCTGAAGTACCTGTAAAAAGTAAAAACACTTCGACGTTTCCAGGAAAAGCCATTGTCCTTTATAGCCCTAATCTCCTGGCGAAAGGCTTTTGAAATGCTCTTAATAATCATTTTCAGATAGTTCAGACCCAAACTACAGCAGTTCGTGTTCAAAATTTGTGCAATCCATATGTTTGTATTTTCAGTTACAACCCGAGTTAACTTCGTGGATAGAGAAAGCATCAACTGAAGGTATGTGTTTTTCATTGAAAACAGTGTCACTAATTTAAAATAACATTTGAATATCTTTTATATACATTTATATTTTTATATTAATGGAATTTGGAGTAGAACGTTTCAACTTCATCTTATATTTTTAAGGTACTAATCATGATAGCCGTCTAAGGTGCAGAAATTTGTGATAAAAACTTATTCTTATTTGTTGACTGATTCTTCCTCAAGTATTATAAATCAGCTATATCCAGAGTTTCCCTCTTTTGCCACTGCCACCGAGTTACTGTAACTCAGCGATAAACGGTGGAATTATGCGATATTCTGCAGAGCACGTCGAGAGATAAGCTTCTATTAATGAGGGAAGGAGAAGGGGAAAGGCACTAACAGGCTTTTAGCCAGGATCGTGAAGGAGGGCGTCCGATTTTGGTATTATGACACATCTACAGTGTGTGTGTGTGGGGGGGGGGAGGGTTTCGGGCAAACGTTCTTCTAAGAAACTATCGAAGGTTGAACAGTATACGACATGTTCATTCATAAACTACGACATGTTCATTCAAACAGGTACACTATCAAATTGATCAAAATATCAAATGTATAATAATATTGAAAATTGAAACTATTTCGTTTCAGATGTATTAATATATTTAGGGAAATCATTGAGAAAAATTTCCCTTTTCCCCAGAATTTGGGCGTTCAAAGGCAAAAGCCTGAGCACTCAAGGGCGACGTAAGCCCCTGCTTTGCCAAACATTGACCAATTCCTCGTTTGCCACATAGTTGCCTGCGAAAGAAACAATCAAGTGCTTTACAATGTAGCAGGGGTTTGGGCGGACGTCATTTAAGAGTCGGAACTTAGATCCATTTATACTCGAGGATGACGTCATCGGCGAACATGGTGAAGATAATCTCGTGGGTATAGCTACCGTCATCTCTGTTCAAAACATGGTGATTGATGTTTATATACAATGCTTCTAGGCCGAGCGTCTCTGGCCATAACGAATGTTAGTTTTAATAATCTTGGAGTCTTCCCACGCAATCGCAAACTTTGTTTGACTCAGGTGATGGGCCAAAGATGATATCCCCTTGTTTAAAGTTGAAATCGCCTTTTAATGTTCTCTTTAAATTAATAAACGTGTGCCAAATTGCTGTAAGATTTTGCCCTAGATAATTTTTTCACAGTTACCGCATAGTATAGAATACAAATATGATATCTGATACTACAGGAAACTGGAGCGCAAATTCCGAAAATATTACCAAAAGTTGGCTACAGGAAGGTTGAAACCTCGTTGTATAACACGCGATTTAACATGGGGAACACCTGTGCCACTTGAAGGCTTTACAAACAAAGTGTTCTACGTTTGGTTTGACGCACCGATTGGGTAAGAAATTTACTATATACAGTTCTAGACTACTTTGCTACAGGGGGAATAGAGTAGTCGTGGCCCATGCATGGGTATCTTACAATGTTTGGTAATGTTAAATTCGAAGTAGGGGTGATCCATTTAGTATATACGTACGCAACTAAGGGAGTGGGGCCGTGGGGAAGTCAGAACTTTTGCAGTTTTTGCGTATGTTTTTTGTTTAAATGACATCATTTCTATTGTTCTTTGTGTACAATGGGGAGGGAAGAGGTTAAGGTTTCTATTGAGCCTTAAACATTACAGACCACTCTTTTCGAAATGTTTGAACAATTGAAAGAAAGGTTATGACGTTATGCGAGGCTTGTTGTCAAGACGGTGGCAAAAGGTGATTCCCATTTGCGAATGTTGTTAATGTGCCGTCACGCGCTGCAGAGGTTGTTTAGTACTTGTGCATGATAGCCAAGGTGCTCTCGGCTTACTGCTGGCAATATTCATCGGGATATAATATCATATTGAATAATTTTTATGTTTTGTTTTTTGAACAACTCGTATCTTGAGTAGACAAGATGATACTATTCGAAGTATATATTTTCTTATATTTCTCAAGACACCTGAGGATAATGTGTTGATTCCACCTTTTTGAACCTTGCAGATATATATCAATCACAGCTAACTACACGGACCAATGGGAAAAGTGGTGGAAGAATCCTGAGCATGTCAGTTTATACCAGTTCATGGCGAAAGATAATGTGCCATTTCATACAGTTGTATTTCCAGCAACATTACTGGGAACCAAGGAACCTTACACCTTGCTCAACAGTATTAATGCAACAGGTGAGATGAATAACTGGTCTGAAAACTAGGTCTGGATGGAGCAACACCGCGGAAAAACACCTGCGCATGCGCGTGCATTAGAAAAAATGGTGAGGAATTTAAATGCCAAATTGTAAACGAAAACAAGGCTATTTAATTATTTTAAGGCAAGTGAAACAAACAAAAAAATACATTAGACGGGTGGTTTAGACATTAATAAAAAGTTTTCTAACATTTAAAATCTAAAAAGAAACAGAATTTAAATTAAAAATTATCGTTTTAGACCGGGAGGCGTGTGAACATTTCTTGAAAAATTGTTAAATACCGAACTTAAGACAAAAAAGTTAAGAAAACTATCAAATAGTTAAGCATTTGCTCACGATTAAATTGTAGATAAATCATTACCCTTAAATATAGTCAACGCAAAAATTATACATGCTACGCAAAAAAGTTATTGAGAAAAATGTGGATCATATGAGCCTACAAAAAATAATAATCTTTGTATGGTTCAGTTAAAGAACGTTTTATACCATAAATGTATCGACAGTCACCAGCTTTGGTTCATTTTCTTGCATAATACTACTTCTTACACATGTGGACTGTAATTATTTCTAGTTTTTAGGTTGTCACATTCATTATTCAGGGCCATAGTAACCGGGGGGCTGCAGTCCCCTCCCCCCAATAATTTGCTAATAATCATCTTTTATTCAAAATCATGCAGATCTTTATCATTTAAATAATTTACCTTTAAAATATTGACTATTGCTTAATTTTAAGCGGTTACATTATCCATGACAAACTGCAAAGAATGAAGTATTACCCATACTTTCCTGCAACTTATCCAATATATAGTTAATTAAGTACGCCTTCGCCCATTTAGTACTACTAAATTATAAACAAATTGTAAATTTCGACATGCTAAAACGCTGTTTTCTGACCATCAGAATTATGCCAAATCTTCCCCAAAGTCCAGGAAATGGCATTTCAGAGACTCTAAATTTAAAAATTCCCTCGGGCCTTCGGCCCTCGTTTTCAGCCCCCCCTCCCCAATAAAAAAGAGCTTCCTACGGCACTGTTATTTTGCTTGCATTTTCACAGAAAAGGCAAAACATCGAAGTCGCTCCTTGTCGCTTCCATTTTAAGTTTTTGACAACCTTCGGAATACTTGACACCACGTTCGCAAGGCAAATTTTTGGTTGACGCATGCGCAAACGTTTTCCGGCGGTGTTGGATGGAGCATCAGTTTGAATTGAATGAGGCAATTTTCCAGAATAATTGTAATGAATAATGAGAAGAGGTATTTAAATCTGTCAAATTCTTTACAAATTGGTTCGATAGGTGGTTAATAATAAATTAGTTTTCAATTGTAACATAGCTTTCGAAGCTCCTTCTAAGATAATGAGAGAAAAGAGAGGTCACTGATAACCAATTTCTATTCAGACAATATATGTCTTTTCCCATCAATAAGGAGAAAGTGCAAGAGCCTTTTGTAACAAGTCAGCAACACTACAGTGGATTTGTGGTGATCACACCAATATAGTCAATGGCCACCATTAACTTCATAGTTTTGCAGCTATAAGTCTGAATTGACATTTAAGTATGAAAGTTGTAGATATAATATTCATTACTTGCCTGTATTACTTTGTTAGTAATTGGAATTTTTTACATTGTCTGACTCCTACAGAAAAAGGAATTTTTCTTTCTCCTTATTTTTCCTTAGTCGTCGACCTTAGTCGTGCAGTGTCCGGCGCTGGTGTTTACGTAAAATGCCTAGGTTTGCAGAGAAAGCATGCATGCATTTAATGTTTTTTGTTTAGATCAGTGAAATAAGTCCGCTCTACCAATAAGTATGCATTAAATAATTCTCTGATGCAAATAATAAGATAATATAATAATTATTTTCTATGATTATAGAGTATTTGAATTACGAAGACGGAAAGTTCTCCAAAAGTCGTGGCGTAGGTGTGTTTGGTAACGATGCCAAAGATACAGGAATACCTTCGGATGTTTGGAGATTCTATTTGCTGCAAACTAGACCTGAATCACAAGTACGTTAATATTAAGTACACTCGAATTTAGTTTGTTCGCATTAATTAACATCACTTCATTGCTTTTATTGCCACATCTTGGGTTGGATTATCCGCCCAGAAAGTCGAGACTCTAAAAGAAGCTCACCTCCCGAAAGTATCACCACTAACATACTTGGATAAAAATTTCAGGATTTTGACTCACTATTAGTTGATGTACAATTAGTTTTATCGAATAAGATGCCCCCAAATGTCCATATTTACCCACATAATTTATAACTTATGTTCAACAACTGGACACTGTAGGTCAGTTGGTTAAAGCACTGCACCGGAATCGCAGGGCCGCGGATTCGATTCCTGCCAGAGGGCTTATATAGTTATAATGGCATAATGGTTCTTTTGCATGGGTTTTTACCAGTTTACCAGCATGGGTTTACCGGGCTTATATAGTTATAATGGCATAATGGTTCTTTTGCATGGGTTTTTACCAGTTTACCAGCATGGGTTTACCAGCATAATGGTTCTTTTGCATGGGTTTTTACAAGTTTTTTGGGTCGGTGCAGCCGAACAGGCGAATGTGGAATTTATACTTGGAGAGTGGACATTGGGTCGGTGCAGCCGAACAGGCGAATGTGGAATTTATACTTGGAGAGTGGACACTTGTGGTATACTTGCCCAGTTTATACATGCCGTACTTAAGGGCAAAATATAATGGTACCGAGCCATCCACGCGTATGGCGGAAGCCCGTGGCGAGTAAGAAGCAATTAAGCGTCTAGCTGAAGAAGCAATTAAGCGTCTAGAAGCTGATGATCTAAATTTAAAATACAAAATCTCGAATCAAGCCGAAATAAATTATTCATTTAGCTACGAAGGGGAAAACAACCAATTCTCGTCTGATCATATTGAAAAACAATTCGTACAAATGGAGATTGATTAATTGATCTGTAAAACTAGATTGATAAATTGATCTGTAGAACTAAACTCAGACAACAAAACTTTCAGAAATGGAAAATAAGTTGAAGAATGCAAATGAATATAAAGCTAGTCTACTTACAACAATACGCCTACTCAATGATGATCTTGATAAGGCCAATCTACTAACATCTATTGATAATAAACACAGCAGTTACTTTCTCTTTCTTGATTTTTCAGAGGCATTCGATATTAATTATTGACCACAAAGTACTATTAAAAAAACTTGAGATCTATAACTTCACACCAGAAACAGTAATGTGATTCGAGTCATACCTCTCCAACCGAACTCCAAAAGTAAAATTTAAAACATCTCTTTCACATTCAAAACAAATTGACTATGGCAAACCACAGGGCTCGATTCTCAGACCACTTCTTTTCATGATCTACATCAATGACTTCCCATTGAACCAAAGTCACGCATCTCCATTTGTATTTTCCGATAACTCTACAATGCTTGCCTCAGGTAGCTCCATATTTGAAGTCAATTTCAGTTTCAACACAGATACTAGTACTTCCAACATATCAACATGGTCGAAATCAAACTTAATGTGTCTTAATTAAAAAACACACACACACACACACACACACACACACAAAAACTATGAAAGTTTACTGCAGACGAAAATTTACACTGATGACAACTGAAGTTAATTGCAAAAATAAACAATGATGTGATTGAGGAAGTAAATACATTTAGACTACTCGGTGTTCATCTCGATAATTTCCTTCACTGGATATTAGGGAGCATTTAATTTTTAGCTGGGGGGTGGGCCGGAGGAACTGAAGTCTAATTCCATGCTAAAACTTAGAACCCCCGAGAGAAAAGTTGATAAAAAATTATGACCGCCTATTTTTTTTACTGAAAATTTTTTTGACCCCTCATCCTAACTATTATTAATCCACACGGTGTCGTTTCCGTAGCGTTTCAGGGCCGTAGGAAGTTATTTATGATTGGGGGGGGGCTGAAAGCGAGGGCCGAAGGCCCGAGGAAATATTTAAATCTAGAGTCTCTGAAATGCCATTTCCTGGACTTTGGGGAAGATTTTGACAGAATTCTGATGGTCAGAAAACAGCGTTTTAGTATGTTGAAATTTACAATTTGGTAGTACTAAATGGGTGAAGGTGTATTTAATTAACTGTATATTGGATAACTAGGATAAGTTGCAGGAAACTGTGGGTAATATCTTCATTATTTGCAGTTTGTCATGGATAATGTAGCCGCTTAAAATTAATAAAGCTTAAAATTGATAAAAAAAGAATGATTATTAGCAAATTATGATTATTAGCTTAAAAAAGAATG